CGCCACGGCATGACATAAAACATGAGATGCACATATGGGGAGCTCTACGCAGTGAGTAATTTCATATTGTGTAATTGTGGAGGGGGGTATCGGGGAGGGGTCAAGACACCCCCCCACCGCCCGCAAGCCGCCTCGCTCACTCCCACCCGTCCTCCCAACACAGAAGTAGCACCCGAGCCGCAGCGTTTTCAGCGGTAACCTTTGGATGGGCAGCTACTGGGAACCAATGCAGACCCCATGTGCGCAACGCTGTGGCGAGGTGCGCCAGGCGTGGCAGTCGCGCCATGCGCGGCAGGTGCGCCAGGCCACACCTGTGGCCCAGAGCGTGCCGGGCACGCCTGGTGCGCCAGCTGCGCCATGTGATCCACGTGCGCCATGTGTGCCGCATGCTCCAGCCGCGTAAGGTGCGCCACGTTCAGGGCACGCGCAGAGTGTGCCAGATGCGCCTGCGCACGTGGCAGTACACATCGGGAAATGTGTTGGCCCCCACCACCCTTGTCGAACACCAGTGCGCAATCGCGGAGGGATGGCCATCATATCGTCTGATGCGCCTTCACAAGCAGGCAATATGCCAGAACCCCCGCCGTCCCCGTCACAAACCAACGCGCAGTGATCGCAAGGTGCCCGCGCATGAGCCAGATTTTGTTACGAAGTGCACCTTGTATGGTTTTATGCTAGGGATGTTGGCCCCGCGAGCAGCAGGCAATGTGAGTGCACCCCCGCCGTCCCCATCAAACCAAACATCAACAGACAGTGCTCGCGGCCCCTCCGATCATGACCTAAGATTCCGCCCCAAGGCGGACTCAACAACATTTTTTGATCGTGGAGGAGGAGGAGGAAGAAGAGGAGGAGGAGGAGGAGGAGGAGGGGGAGGAGGGGGAGGGGAAAGGGGTCCTGGTTGGCTGCCAGTCGCCTGGAGGCGGGGGTGTTTACCAATCGGGAGCACTGATAAACCCCTCCCCGAAGAGGAAGAGGGGGGTTGGAAGAGGAGACTCGCTGAACCACCCACGCCCAGAGGTCTGGTGGGATCCGTCAGTGTAGACAGGAGGGGGGGATGGGGGAAACGGCATGGGGAGGGCGAGTTGGAGGGGTGTCTGCGGGGGGGGGGGGAGCTGCCAGCAGCCCCGACGAGGGGTGCGATGCGATCACCAACCAGACGGAGTGCGCGGACGAGAGCTCGCGCTGCACCTGGGGCTCCAAGGGCGGCAAGGACGCCTGCCTGGTGCTGTGCGCGACGCTGCCGGCTGGTGACTCGTGCTCGTCGCAGGATCGCGGGGGCTACCCCAGATTTCGTAATAAAAGGGAGGGGGTCTGGACCCTCCAA